CTCCACTCCAGGGGAAGGATACTGCAAAATCCCCATTCCCTCCCCACTACTGGGGGAAGGATATGGCAAAATTCCCACCCCACTCTGGGACCAGCCAGAAGTGGTATTTGCCAGTTCTCCAAACTGCTCAAAATTTCCGCTACTGGTTCTCCAGAACCTGTCAGAATCTGCTGGATTTCACCCCAGAGCTATAGGCATAACCAAGAAACAGAAGAAGTTACTAGACTTCGCTCATCATTCAGAATATTGGCCCACCTCTGTATTCTCAGGAATATTTTTTACCATAGATCACAATGTACATGTAGTCCTCAACTTATGACCACAATTGAGCCCAAAATTTATGTTGCTAAGTGAAAAATGTGCTAAATGAGTTTTGCCTCATTTTACAAGTTTTCTTGCCACATTGGTTTAAGTGAATCACTGCAGTTGTTAAATTAGCAACATGGTTGTTAAGTGAATCTGGTTTTCCCATGGACTTTGCTTGTCACAAGTTTGCAAAAGGGGCTTGCATGACCCCAGGACACTGAAACCGTCACAAATGTGAGTTGGTTGTCAAGCATCCGAATGTAAATCGTGTGACCATGGGAATGTTGCAATGGTCATAAATGTGAAAAATGATCATAAGTCACTTTTTTCAGTGCCATTATAACTTCGAACAGTCACTAAGCGAACTGTTGTAAGGCGAGGACTACCTATATATGATTATTATAATTAATGTAGTGAATGCTTTTTCTAGCATTTTGGCCTTTCTTTCTGTCTCATTTAAAATAACAATTTAACAACAAGTGCTTTGGGGTCAGCACCAAGGCTTCTGTGGAAGAAACATTTTGGATTAGATCTGAAGCATTTTTTTATATAGAACGAGATAGCCTAAATTAGATCATAATTAGCAGGCAATGCTAGCAGTGGAAGAACAGAGATCTGGCGAAACAGCAGAGTTCAATGGAAGAAGTGATAGCTGCAGCTTCTAATTCCTCAAGCACAGATGGAATCAATATGACTAAGAATAGCAGTCAAATATCTCAAGAGTAGCTCTTAGTCTTAATCATGGATGTCAAACTCGATTTCATTGGGGTTGTGTTTGACCTCGGGGGGGGTTGGAGTGGGCATGGCCAGGGTAGGTGTCGCCAACTTGTCACTTGTGTCGGGTGCGCCTGTGGTGGCCCGAGCGCTCTGCCAGCTAAAACGGGATTCCGAACTCCGTTTTCAGCTGTGATGGCCTCCTGCAACCCTCTGCCAGCAAAAACAGAGCTCGGGCAGGCTACACGTGGCCCACGCAAGCTCCGTTTTCGGCTGCACCGGTCTCCTGCAACCCTCCATTTTCGCTGACAGAGGCACCGTGGGCCAGTCCTTCACTGTTTCCAGGGCGGCCCCACGGGCTAGATCTAAGCACTTGTGGACTTCAACTCCCAGAATTCCAGCAAAGCTGGCTGAGGAATTCTGGGAATTGAAGTCCACCAGTCTTAAAGTTGTCAAGGTTGGAGACCCCTGACCTAGAAAGCTTTGGTTATAAACTCAAAACAAATACATGTACAAGAACATGAAGAGTAAGAACAAGAACAAGAATACTTTAATTTTTTTTTAATAAGGTACTTTCTTCCCTGCTTGTGGATTTGCTTTAGTTGATCCTTCCCTTGTTCAATCTGGTTTCAGACCCAGGACACCTTAGCTGGAAAGCTCCATATGCTTTACATTTTTTAATCTCACCCACCTACCCCAAAACGATCCGATTATTGGAATTTAGGCTGCAAAAGTTTCTATGTGTTTGACCTAGGACATGGGTGTCAAGCTCAATTTCACTGAGGGCCGCATCAGGGTTGTGTTTGACTTTGGGGGATGGGGTGCACGTGGCCAGGGTGGGTGGGGCCTGCTCGATGTTGTTCGTGTCGGGGGCTCCTGTGGTGGCCCGAGCGCACTGCCAGCGGAAACGGGTTCCCGAGCTCCGTTTTCAGCTGCGAGGGTCTCCTGCAACCCTCTGCCAGTGAAAATGGAGCTCGGGAGGGCCGCATGCAGCCCACCCAAGCTCCATTTTCGCTGGCTGAAGCACCACGGGCTGGTCCTTCATATTTCCAGGACAGCCCTGCGGACCAGATCTAACGATCCCACAGGCCACATCCAGCCCTTGGGCCTTGCGTTTGACACCCCTGATGTAGGAGCTCCTGACAGAAATTAATCAATCCAGCTCAGTGTCAACTCGCAAAGCATCCCTGACACTGAGATGGTTTGCAGTTTCTCCCTCCTAAAAATATTAGGAATGAATATATGTGAGTATATGTACCTATAGTTATGCCTGAATAACAATGGATCTGAACATTTTTCATTTAACATTTGGTCACTGTCTTATATTTCTTAGTAATAGCTGAGGGAATTCTTTCTGCTGCTAAAAAACAATATGCCGGTAAATCCTTCAGTGAAAGTACGGCTACAGAACCACTTAACATTAAAAAAAGAAACTGCCAGTATTTCATAAAGTCTGAGATGATGGATGGTACTTTCACAATAAAAGGCATCTCACCCCTCATTTACCAATGTTCCATTTTTATTTTAAACAATATTTTTCTTCTTTTCACCCAGTGAGTTGTCATTTCTTTTACCCAATGGCCTCCATTATCTCATTTCAACTCTGTCTGATCCGTGTGCATCTGACAAAAGAGACTACTGCAGACCAATTAGTGTCTAAAAGTTTCCACAATAGCTATTTTTGTATGTTTAGTAACACAAGCACGAAGGGGGGAAAAAAGCCTTCCTTGGAAGTCAAAACACATCCTTATAACTCAAGAGTTTCTCAACCTTGGCAACTTTAAGATGTGTGGACTTCAACTCCCAGAATTTCCCAGCCAGTTGCCAAGGTTGAGAAAACATGTTATAACAGTTCTGACATATTCAGTTTAATTACATCTATCAGACCAATACATACATACATACATACATACATACATACATACATACATACATAATACATACATACAGTCCTCAACATAGGACCACAATTGAACCCAACATTTCTGTTGTTAAATGAAACATTTGTTAAGCGAGTTTTGCCCCATTTTATGTTATGCCCCACTTTCTTGCCACAGTTGTTAAGTGAATCACTGCAGTTGTTAAGTTGGTAACCTGGTTGTTAAGTGAATCTGGCATCTCTACTGACTTTGCTTGTCAAAAAGTTGCAAAAGGATGACTTTGGGACACAGCAATGGTCATAAGTATGAGACAGGTGCCAAGCACCTGAATTTTGATCACATGATCAGGAGGATGCCACAAAGGTCTTAAGTGTGAAAAATGGTCATAAGTCACTTTTTTCAGTGCCGTTGTAACTTTGAATAGTCACTAAATGAACTTGATCTTTCTTTATCTTTATCTTTATTTGATTTATATACCGCCCTACTCCCGAAGGACTCAGGGCGGTGAACAGCCAAACGATAAAATACATAAATACAAAATTTAAAAACAGAATAAAACTGAATTAAACAATTTGGCCCAGACAGATTTAAAACACCCCAATCATTTAAAAACAGATTAAAATTTTCATATTAAAAAGAAAAAGGGAAAAGATTAGGCCAGGCCCGCCTGGTGGAATAAAAAGGTCTTGAGAGCGCGGCGGAAGGTGCGCATATCCGGGATCCTCCGTATCTCCGGGGGGAGCTCATTCCAGATAGTAGGTGCCCCCACAGAGAAGGCTCTCCCCCTAGGGGCCACCAGTCGACATTGTTTGGCCGACGGCACCCGGAGGAGCCCCTCTCTATGAGAGCGTACCGGCTAGTGGGAGGCTATTGGTGGTAGTAGGCGGTCCCGAACTGTTGTAAGTGGAAAATGTACAAACATACATACATACATATATATGAATATACATACATACATACCAGGGGTGGGGTCTACTTACTACCAGTTCGCATCGCGCCGATGCCACTGGTGGGTTCCTACCGGTGTTACTAGCGGTTCTCTTCGCACTTGCGCTTTGTGCGCGACAGCAAACCTACTTAACATTCCTTCCTCCTCCTTTTCCCCCCATAACAACAACACCTTTGAGGTGAGGGAAGATGACTGGTTTAAAGTCATGATACAGGCTTACCTTTTTTACTGGCATCCCTCTCTGCTCTTTTAAACATAGCTCTGCCAAGGGACGTGGTGGCTCAGTGGCTAAGACACTGAGCTTGTCGATCAGAAGGTCAGCAGTTCAGCGGTTCGAATCCCTAGTGCTGCATAATGGGGTGAGTTCCCATTACTTGTCCCAGCTTTTGCCAACCTAGCAATTCGAAAGCACGTAAAAAAAATGCAAATAGAAAAATAGGGACCACCTTTGGTGGGAAGGTAACAGAGTTCCATGCGCCTTTAGCGTTTAGTCATGCCAGCCACATGACCACGGAGACATCTTTGAACAGTGTTGGTTCCTTGGCTATGAAACGGAGATGAGCACCACCCCCTAGAGTCAGGAATGACTAGCACATATGTGAGAGGGGAACCTTTGCCTTTAGCTTTCAACCAATGTTACTTTTTAAAAATCATGAACATTAGTAAAATAACTACCACGTCCCCAAACAGCTAAATAAAATCATGAGACTTGAAGCTGGCATTCTGTTTTGCAGTATCCCAGCTTTTCTGATTAATTATTATTAAACTTAAAATAAATAAACCACTTAGATCAAGGAATGTGAAAGGACAAGACGTCTTCGGACAGAGCTGGCTCTTCGGCTTTTGAAATGGAGATGAGCACCGTCCCCTAGAGTTGGGAATGACTAGCACATATGTGCGAGGGGAACCCTTACCTTTACCTTACCTGCCATGATATTAAATTCTACCCTGACTGCCATACTTACAATAAAGCCTCTTAAGCTGTACAATAGATATTTATAAACAACCTTTTGTTTATTCAACTAGCTGGAACATTAGGTGGTTGTCTTCCACCACAAAACCATTTTTAGGTTAAAAATTGACCCTCCCCCAGTTATCTGTGGGCAAGTCCTAAAAGTAGCCAGATTGAGCATGGCTGTTATAATTTAAACTTCAACAAGGTGTGTGAAGGACTGCAGACAACTGCTGGAGGTATCTGGTCTTCAGAAAGAGAGGAGGTAACCCCTTTGTTTCTTCTGTCCTACAAAAATCTTCCTTCCCCTCTGATTAGGCTAAGCACAAATCGTCTGTATGACTATCTTGAATGCTGTTTAAAAGGAACTTGAACTAGGCATTAAGCTGATTGAATTACTCAGATTGGTTAAATGGGTATTTTGCTAGAAGGAGCTGAATTACCTTTAAAACAAACCCAGGTCACTGTTTGGATCATAACCTTCCTCTTAAACACAACCATGCCTTGGACTATAATTATCACCAAGTCCAAGCCGATATTAATTGTGTTTATTAAAAATGAAGGGATTTGAACTCCAAAGCATAAGGAGTATGTTGTGAATAGGTTAATTAGAAGGATAAATAGAAGGATAAATAGAATCTGGGCAAATATGTTACTCTTTATAGTATTATATAAAGGTCAATAAACATCTATCAGCATTTCATAAATCATTTGTTGTATTCGTTAATTGTTGTATCTGGAGTTTGGGAAAAGATATTTTGAACTATCTGCTGGCATAATGAATCTAACTGCTAGTATTAGTATTGATTAAGTATTTATTTATTTTATTGTTGGTATGATTTATATTGGAGGGTTTGTGATATATTAGATTTTTATTAACTTAAAATGTTGTTAACATATTACTAAGATATGTTCAAACTAACTGTTAGTGGATGCAGTTTAATGTGCGCAAGTTTTATGAGATTAGGAACACAATCCTTAACAGGCATATTAAAAAGAACTAGTGTGAGTAATCCTCACTACGAAATTAGTATGTTTAGGATTGTAGTCTGAATAATTTCCTTCTTCAACAATTCTGCAATATTATTTATGTATTTATCTATTTTATTATTTATTTATTCATTCATTCATTCAATTTCTATAGTCACCCAACTCAATCAAGTAATTCAAGTGGGTATTTTATATGTTTATTTGTTTGTTTGTTTGTTTATCACATTTAGAAACTGCCCATCCCATGCATAGAGCAAATCTGGGAGGTGTAGAAGACATAAAATCATAATTCTCTCTCTCTCTCTCTCTCTCTCCCTCCCTCCCTCCCTCCCTCTCTCTCTCTCTCTTATGAAAGGGGGCAGTTATGCACTTTTATTATTTGTTATTGCAACTATACAATTGCAATTAGGCAATTTTGTGAATTTAAATAATCTGAAGCAGGGGAAGACCATTTTATGTCCTTGACATTTTGGATTATAACTCCCCCTGTTAGCTATGCTGGCTGACATCATGGATGGATACTGAAATTCAATGGGTTTTAGAAGATATCAGACTGCTTGATCCCAAAGTAGACAAATATTTCTGTCAAATATTTATGAGTTATATACCTTATGCAATTTTGTGTGTGCCTACCTACGTAGGTAGCCAAAACACTGAATCGAATCGAATCAAATCGAATCGAATAGAATAGAATAGAATAGAATAGAATAGAATAGAATAGAATAGAATAGAATAGAATAGAATAGAATAGAAT